AGGTATGTCAAAGGGTAGAGCATTCAGCCACTCAGCAATGACATTCCATCTGCTTCTCTGGTTGCTCCTAAGACACCAGGAAGTTAGGTCATTCTATAGGGAGGAAATATGCCAGGCACTGGGGTCAGCTCGTCTGTGCAAACAACAATTCTTCTTAGCACTTTCATTCTAGAAGCTTCCTTCCGCAGCTCATGTGGAGAAGCTAGTCTGACAAATGCTTAATGGAGGAGCTTTCAGTTAACAACTAACTTCATAGTCTGGCATAAAGGGGTCACAGGTGTAGAGGGGTCACTGGTATAGAGGGGTCATAGCTTTAGGGAGTCAGGACTGTAGAGAGGTCACGGCCATAGAGGGGTCACAGCTGTAGATGGGTCACTGGAGGCAGAAGACCTAGAGCTTTTGCACATGGCCCAATTCTTGGTTCAGTGTATTCATTTGGGATCTAAAGAACCACACTTTGGTAGTCACTGTCAAGTCCAAGAATTCCCAGCACCCTCCATGAAGAGATGAGGATAGTGTTTTCTGACACCACAGTGGCCCACATGGTAATTTCAATCTTCTCCAACCAGGAAAAGGCTGGGACATTTTTGTTTTATTTCTTAATCCCATTTTTAACTATTTACCTAAACTGCTCATGTTTTCCAGAAGAAATGCCTTTGTCCCTTTGGAAAGCTGAAGTCATTTTCACTCTTTATGCTTACCCAAATCCGAACCACCAAAGGCCTCATCAGGCAGGCCCCCTATCCATGGCTTCTAGGTATAATTAGTGTCCATTAGAACTGTCCAACTGACCAATCACAGACGGCTCCTCAGGGAGCCAGGGCTGGGACAGAGCTATTAATAAAGTCATACTTAATAGAGTTTTCTCCTGCTGGGGCGGGGGTGGGGAACCCATCTGTCTGTCTCCAACCCCATGCATCCCTTGCAGGTCCTTCAGGCATCCCTGAGGAGACAACTCTCACAGATGTGAGCAGCAAACAAGCAACAAAAGAGAACCACACACAGAAAATGACCGCAATCAATGTTTATGGACATTACCAAAGAGCAGTTGCCAGTGTGCTGTTATCGGGTAAATGCACCTTGCATTCCTGAAAACAGAAGAGGAGGAGAAAGCTGAAGGGACAGTGCTTTTTGCCTACGCTACTTGAGGAGGTTGTGTCTTCCCTCTCTTGAAGGCATTCCTTGAAACCGCAGCAAACAAACCAGCCAGTGAGTAACAAGTCCAAGCCCATCCCTTTCTTCTACTCTTTCCTGAAGAAACACAGCATACCTGTTTACAGAGGTCAGCCTCTGGAGGTAATTAACAATGTATCTCTAGGGTGCAGCAGGCTGTTTTGTCTACAGTAAACCCCACAACCAGATATGACCACACCTATGTGCATCTTATGCTTCTGTTGTCTCCGTCCCTCACTCATGGAATGGACATAAATTCTTGCAGTCATGCCTTCTGCTGGTTGGAGGGCAAGGGAGTCAACATCCCCATTTAACAGAAAAATGGCAGGGATACCACCACACCTAAGCCAAGAGGCCAGATCCCTTTGTCCTGCTGAAGAGTTAGTTCTACTGTGTCATTAGGTAATAAGGAATGCTTTCTTCTGCTTCACTGATAGTTTGGGTCGACTCCTTTTCCATATGTTCCCATATATTACAACCTAGACTGTAAAATGTTTGAAAAATAAATTAAAAGAACATGTCACAGAATAGGATTTTATATAGGATCTGGGAGCTGGCAGTTGACTTGAAGTCTGCATAGGTTATTAGAGAGAACTGTAACTATGGGACAGTGGTTTTCAAAAGTTGAAATAGATGGATAGATGATAGATTATAGATAACAGATAGATGATAGATAGATGATGGATAGACAAATGATAGATGATATATGATGGGTAGATAGATGATAGATGATGGATAGATGATAGATAGATAACAGATAGATGATAGACAGATGATGGATAGAGATAGATAGATAGATGGATGGATAGATGGATGGATAGATGGATGGATAGATAGATAGATAGATAGATAGATAGATGGGAATCTCAGTTTGTAACAAAGAGCCTTTTAAAAAGCAGCAACTGGGATGAAAAGCTGAGAGGAAGGTTTCGGGGACAAGGTGAACAGGAAATGATGGATAGAAAGTGAGCTAGAAGGGTCTTTGAAGGCAACAGGGATTCTTGCCAAGCTGACCAGGGAAGCTTCTTGCTGAACGTAGCCCAGATAACACACCAAGGATAAGAAATTCTAAACTGACACTGACTGGGTCCTAAATTCCCGCAGAGGACGGGCACACCCGAATCTCACCCTAGGAGCTGGCATCAAGGGAAGGCAGAGCAAGCAGGGCAGCTCCCCTCTGATTTCAACCATGATAATGCTTGCTCCCTGCTTTACCTGAGGGGAAAGGTTGGAGGCTGGGAGTCTGCATCCCTACATCACTCCCACCCAGAATCTGTCCCTAACTGGCTGTGATTCAAATTCCTCTGCCTTTGCTTTTCTCACCTATGGAATCGAAAGCAGAGAATTGAGCAGATGGATTCCAAAGGCCATCTTGGCCTTGAGATATCTTGGCTTCCAGGGCACACCTGTATGTTATGATAAATCTTTCCACCAAGAGCCGTCCGAGCCACGTGGGTGGTCTCTGCCAGCCGCCTGAGTACTGCCTGCTGAGTTAGGGCCCCAATTAATGCACAGAGAATTATATTAGGTATAAATACTGCTTGGCCAATGACTAGGATTCTCATCTGTTAGCTCAGTCTCAATTATCATAAATCTATATATTTTATAAGACTTACCTTATCGGATACCTTCCATTGGTGTCCTCCCTAGCCGGTGGCTCACATGACAAATCTGGAGGAAGAGCGGAGGGGAAAAGGGACACTTCCTGCTTGTCCTTCCTTAAATATGAGTCTCCTCGCTATGTCACTTCCTGCCTGGATCACCACTTCTTTACTACATTTCCCAGAATCCTCTTTGACTCCTAGTCCTGTCTAACTTGCTGCCTCATTGGCCAAACAGCATTTTATTCAACAATCAATAAGATGAACATACACAGAAGTACATTCCCCATCACCTGTAACCCTTAGTCCCTGCAACCAGGAGACCACACTGTGCTTAGAGAGTGAGTTGGGTGTACATATGGAACCTCACCCAGACCCCCAAAGAAGCTTTGATTTCACTTTCATGTATTAAGTTCTAGGGGGCATTGGGCTGGGGAGAGGTAAATAGTATTGGAAATCTTAGTTGCCCGGATGTTTTGTTCAAGTGTTGTCAAACTTGTCCTAACGAGGTTGGTCTGTGTGAATGAAGACTCAAGTCCTTTAATAAAGTCAAGGAGGGGGTGTAATTATTTCACTAGACCCAAGATAAATGATAAATGGGTGTTTATTGGGGAACAATTACACAGAAAGATACAAAGAACCGCTGGAGCATTTCTCTGTTCTTCCTACCAGATGGGCTGACCCACCAGAATGGACCACACAAAGGAAATCCAGGCCTCAAGCTCCCCTCTGTCCCCTTCCGGCTGCCCGAGGCCACGCCCAAGGGGGTGCGGCCACTGTTAAAAGTTCATTGCAAGACTGCTACAATAAAGCCTCTCTTCCCTCGTTCCAGGGGGCTCTTAATTTTAGCATAGCTCTGGAACAACTTTTTCTTCAGGGTGTAGATGGATGCTGGGTAACAATCTGGGAGACTCTCTAGTTCAATCCACGCTATTCAGGTGGGAGCAGGGACCGTCTGTGCAGCTTCGACCTTAGCTTGTCAGGGCCTCAGCATCCAGTGACCCAGAAACAGGAAACAGAACTATAAAAAGGAGTGCGTGCGTGGGAGCCGAGGCTTAAACTCAGTGGTAGATGGCCCGGCCCGCAGAGTGTGCAGGAGTCCCCGAGTTTGGGCTCTACTACGTGGGGGAGGGGTGTGGTCAACATTTTTCTAAATGTCCTTCTTTCTCCAAGGCCCTTCACAAGGATGTATTGGCTTGGCTGGTGAGATGGCTCAACTGGTAAAGGCCCTTGCCAACAAGCCTAAGGACCCCAGTTCAATTCCTACAACCCACACAGTGGAAGAGAGAACAGACAGACACACATAGACAGACAGACAGACAGACAGACAGACAGACACACACACACACACACACACAATTAGGTGTCCATAGGGAAGGGGCCCCATTACCCATGTCCAATAGTTCAGGGATCATGACAGAGGGCAACGGAAGATCCTTCCCTTCGTTCCCCACCCTCCAATGCCAGGGAGCCCATATCTGGCCTCTGAGCCCGATTCTTCAGCTGCTGTGGCTGCACACTCCCCCATCCCAGTGCACACTATTGAATAAATATGTCTGGCCCAGCTCCATGAGGGAGTTCTGGAGAGTCGCAATTGTTATTTCCAGGAATGTACAGACACCAGCAAAAATTCGTTTCCCAAACGCCTGGCTATTTTGAGAACCAAATCTCCCTCGCCGTAGCAATCAAATGGGGGCCTTTTCAAGTCTCACTTTACAATAGAAACCTGTTCCGCCTTCAGCTGCCTTTTGCCTACAAGAATTCAATAAGAGAGAGAGAGAGGGAGAGGGGCCGTTAGCATTTCCTCTTCCCATTTCTGCTCCAGCACGACATGCATTCCTGGCCAACTTTCTTGACTCTGCACCTTAGTAAATTCCTCAGGGAGAGGGGCCATTAGCATTTCCTCTTCCCATTTCTGCTCCAGCACAACATGCATTCCTGGCCAACTTTCTTGACTCTGCACCTTAGTAAATTCCTCCTGACAATAGTTAGTGACAAGCGTGTCAGAAACAACAAACTCCGCCATCTATATGGCTTATCAATAATTTAGTCTTTCCCCCCTCGTGAGAGCCTGTGTGTTTTACAATAATGAAATATATGATTTTAAAAATAAATAATAGGCTGTTGTCAACCCGATAGTAGCTGCAAGTTATGAATGTGATTGATTGATTGAACATTTGACTTCATCCGCTCCAGCAGGATCAAAGAAAGGCTCTTCCACCCGCCTAAGGCCACTAGCAATTTATTTAGAGACTGTGTTCGTATCCCAGCAGGTAGCAATATTGGACTGAGGTACACAGAAAATCAGCTCTTTGAGGTTTTTTTCCTCCCCGAGTCCAAGGGAAGCAACAAATGAGGATTTTTTTTTTAGTTCATTAAACCATTAACCACTTAATCACTAAAAACAAGACATTATAAGTACTGTTCCCTTTAGCTGGGAACAGAAGGGAGGCCACTTTGCTGAGGTCTAGTAAGGCAAGGTGGGCTTGTTTGAAACAATGTGACAGTCTGTAATTTTTTATTTATATGGTGCTGTAGTTTTTTTTTCTTCATCTTGACTAATCAGCTTGGCAACAGCCACACTGACATTCCAAAGTGACAGGTGTCTGAATTGCAATGAGCTATCTATGCAACAGCCGAAGTGGGGGACGGAAGAAACAAGAGAGCCGAAGAGATGTTTGCAAAGCAAATACTGCAACTGCTAGAAAATGGGGGACAGGAAAGACCCACAGGAGGAGGAACTCAGCCCCCCAAATTCAGCCAGAGCTGAGCTGCTCCTTCACTTGGTGTCTGGTTGGCTTATAATGGCTGCCCTTCTTTCCAAGCAGAGTGTGAAGGTCAAGCTGAGAGTCTGCCCTCACCAGCTTGCTTGAGTTCAGTCCTGTGAACCTAAAGTCTCCCCCAAGACGGGAGGGGGCTGTTTGGCATTCTGGTGATCAGAGTTGGTGAGGCATGGAGAGTGGTGCTAGCCAGAGTTCTGTGAATAAAGGAGACAGGACGTGAGGCCCGAGGACATCGCACACAGAGGGACAGCCCATCTTAACAAGCACAGGTTACTGTCTTAGTTATTCTGGCAGGGGAATGGAAGAAAAAGACAGTGTCCTCCCCTTCCGGCTCCCCCGTCCTGTGCTGTCTGACCTCAGGCAAGGCAATTTAATAATCATCCGAATGCTTTTGACTTCGTAGGGCTTTCATCCACGATCTCAAAGCACTTCACAAATTCCAACTCATTAACCTTCACAGCCCACCCTGGGGGACACGGGGCGGGCATGTTTTCCCTGTGGTGGGAACACTCAGCTAGAGGCAGGGGAAACAACTCTTCCTTCAAGGTCACCCGAAGGTTGATCAGGAAACTTGAGAGTTCCAGAGCAGCTGGCATCCACTGCTGATGCTGGGCCCTTAGTTCACCCTCTGAATCAAGTACTCTTCTTGTTCCTGTCCCCAACATAGCTGACAAGAAGGGGCTTAAGGGAGGATTTATTTGGGCTTACAGTTCAAGTGGATACAGTCCACAAAGGAAGACAGGGGTGAACAGCTGGAGCCCCTCATGTACTCATGCCTTGATGGACCATGAAACTGAGAGTGGACAGGAAATGGACTGAGTTTTCAAAGGTCAAATCCTGTCTCCCAGTGACTCACTTACTCCTCCAAGGCTTTATCTTCCTAAACAGCGCCACCAGCTGGAGATCCAGTGTTAAACACATGAGCTGTGAAGGCCGTTTCACACGGGCAGTTGGGCTAGCTCTGACCAAAGAGGCCTCAATACAGAAGGGGCTAGTTGCAGGCTATGAGAAGCACTTACACACTGTATGTTTCATTTACTCCTTCCCTGGAATCTCCGGTGTCTACAGACTCCCATCTTTGAGGCAGACACAGAGGCCAGGGGAGCTTAAAGAATTCAACCCAAGGTCATAATAACATGTTAATATTCCCCACTATTTTGGAATACCACCTGGATGAATACTCTGTTCTTTGGAGTCCATGATGAACTCATGGGCTGATGAAACAGGAATGCCCAAAGCCAAAAGCCCAGAAGCTTGCCCCATTTTCAAGGGAAAAGGTAGCGTGACCAAAAAGCAATTCTGAAAAGAGAGAGCCAGGGACGTGCTGCAGGGGAGGTGGCAGACAACAGAAACTGGATTGATTGGGGTTCTTTCCATGAAGTGGGGGTGTTAAGTGCCTGTCACTGGGCCAAGCTCAGGCTTTCAGGGAAGTCCAGGTGACCTTGAGCACGGTGAGTGTGTGTCTGTCTTTTGCTTTCAGGAGTCAGCCTTCTGCTATGGGCATCCACCACCTCACCAGTGGAGCCACGAGGAAGCATCATTCCTGGGACTCCCTTGAGAAATGAGCTTTCTAGGTCACCATGACAGTCCCCTCAATGCAGCTTTTGTTTTGTAGCACATCGCAGGGTCTCATAATGACAAAAAACCTGTTTCCACCGCAGTCTGCCCTTTTCATCTTCCTGAAAGTCCCCAGCTCTGATTGTTACCGGGGCCTAGGGCTGGAGCATTCCGAAGGATCTCTCGCTTGCTCATCCTCCCAGTTTCTTTCTCTGCCATGTTCAATCCCTGCTCCCTTTCCATTTGTAGAGACAAAAGGGAAAAAAATTCCCGTAGCACTGGCTGCTGTCCAGGAGCACAGAAGAAAAGCAAGCAAAGCAAACAACAGAGGAGAGAACAACAAAAGAGCAAAACTCAAACCAAGCTGCTTGAGGATCCTGTGGAGCTGACCCAGCAGTCAGCGCTGTGGCTTCTTTTCCCTCTTCCTAAGTGTTCGGTTCAGAGTTCAGATTCCAAGAGTCAAATCAAGGAGTGCCTGGAAGTTACTTGCCAATCAATATGTACCCTGGGTCTCTAAAGACTTTATCTGGTTTAATTCTGTCTCTGAGACTGTCCAGGGGGAACGATCTGGCTGGGGTCCCTCTAGAAGCAGAGGCTGGGAGGAGGATCTGCAGCAGACAGTTTCTCTGGGCGGCAAAATACTCCAGGAAACACAGGGAGTGGGAGACATGAGAAGCAGGGGAGAGGGGAGCTGAACAGAGGGCTATGTTGACGAGCTATGCTGAGGGTAATGGGACAGGCCTTTGAAGATGGTCGGAAGGGCTGCACAGAGCCAACCTTACCGTTGTCACTCAGAAAAACGAGGGATCTGGGACACTGTCTACCAACTGTGTCCCATTGCAGAGGGGCTGCTTGGGGCCATCACCACTGTACATCCAGGCTGTTCTATGTCTTCAGGCCCAACTGCCCAGAGAAGAAGCTCACACAGGTGACACCAGTAGCCAGGGGACTGTCAGGGGCTGTCTGCAAGCACCTCTAAGGAAGGATGACATAAATGATTGCCACGATGATGGCTTCCATTGTTAGTTAGCCCAACAGAACTGCAGTGTCTGCGAGTGTAGGCACCAATGACCCCACCCAACGCCATATCGTCCGTTATTGTTTTCATCAGCCACATTTATGGGCAGCCCAGTGCTGGGTTCCAGAGTCACTGAGATCAGTAAAGACAAATGTGGCTCTTGCCTTCAAGGCTGGCCTCATTTGAATATTGGAATACTTGTCAATGCACTCCAGGTTGTGGCCTCAAGCTTGCTATGTAGCTGAGGCTGGCCTTGAACTCCTGATCCTCCTGTCTCACCTCCTGAGTGCTGGATTACTGGTTTGGGGCACCCTGTCTGTCTTATGTGGTACTAGAGATGGAACCCAGGGAGGTTTGTGTGTCAGATAAACACTGAGCCACATACCCCAAGTGTTTTCTAAACCTCAGAGGAATGAGACTGCAAGGGCCAAACACACGCTTGTTAATAGGACTTCTCTTGGGTTGATGGGAGTTCTTTATGTCTTGCATTTCCACTTTGGTGAAATTTCCTCTAATAAGAATGTATTCTTCTTGAAAAAATAAATTTGCTTGAAAATAAGAGGGAAAGAAATCACCTGTGGAACAGAAAGGTGTATATATCTGGACTTTGCTTTCTTTCCCCCTTGCCCAACTTTCATGTGTATCTAGCACCTGGGGATCCCTGATGAACACAGCACCGGATCTATTGCAGAGTAATTTGGGGTCACTTCTCAAACATGTCTGGGACCTGCAGGTATCAAGTATCTCTTGAAATGTGGAGTTCTTAGGTTACCACAAAGAGAACAAGAACTATCTATTCTTACGATAAATCTTTCTGCCAAAGCCGCTGAGCCCCATCACCACGTGTGCGCTTTATGCCAGCCGCCCGCCCGAGTTAGGGCCAAATTAATGCACAGAGAGATTGTATTAGGTTCAAAGCTGCTTGGCCAATGACTAGGATTCTCATCTGTTAGCTCAGTCTTAACTATCATAAATCTATATATTTTATAAGACTTACCTTATAGAGGATGCCTTTCACTGGCCCCTCTCTTGCCGGTGGCTCACATCCTGCCCCTGGAGGAAGCGAAGGGGAAAGGGACACTTCCTCTTTCTCCTTTCTTAAATATGAGTCTCCTTGCTATGTCACTTCCTGCCTGGAACACCACTTCTCTACTACATTTCCCAGAATCCTCTTTGGCTCCTAGTCCCGTCTGACTTGCTGTTTCATTGGCCAAACAGCATTTTATTTAACAATCAGTACGATAAACATACACAGTACATTCCCCATCAATCTATTCTTTTCATTTTTTCTTAAATTAATCCATGGAAATAGGGAGCCTATAGTTGTCCAGGCAGACTCCTTGGTTTGCTGATTAACTTTGATGACATCTTCAATAGTCAGACAGTGACTCTGGTGTCAGCAAGTGCCCTGCTTCTGTCACCATCCCACTGGAGTAGGGACTTCCATGTTGGGAAATTTTCTTGACAACCATCTCTCTAGTAGAGCCTTCATACTTAGAGTGCTCTTATCAAAGTCTCTCAAACTATAGCATGAGCTGTGCTTACAGAGTCAGAAGTAGGGCTACCTCTAGGGTAATAGGTTTGTTGGCACAGTGACAGTTAGCAAAGTAAGTCTTGAAGTACTTTCCATGAAGCTAAAAGAGTTAAAAGAGTATCTTGGAAACATGCTCCCTGGGTTCCCTCAAACCCCAAGATTCTAAATGACTTCTGATGGATGGAAATGTTTCAGTTCTTCAGCCTTTCATTAGTTCAATACTTGGTGATAGGTCCAGACTCCAGTGCTGCCCAAGTCCAGGGTGGGGAGATTAGGGGTAGAGGGTGGGGGACCCCTGTTCACAGGCAGAGTCCCTTAAAGCTTTGCTTCATGTGGGTCTGCCCAGATCCCAAAGGGAAGGTTAAAAATTCTATGTTATGTTCCTGAATGCCTGGCATTAGGGAATTTAATTCTGATGAAACATGTTCAACGTGAACTTGAGCTGAATCTCTACCCTCTGGACACAGAACTAAAACCCGCCTCCTGCTTCAGACCCTGGAGGCTCGGGGTCAGTATGTCAGGAGAGAGATCCAGAATATACATCTGTCACAACTCTAGGCTGGGTGCTGATGAGACAGGGAGTTCATTCTGAGATGTGATCTCTTAAGTGTGGTTTAGTGATTCTGATTATTCCGAGGCCTGTTTTTTGACATGTAAATGCACTGTTTCCCAACCAATCTCTGTGATATAGGAATATTTGACATTTAATGGACAGGATGGGGCCTTGAGATGAAATCTCATTTAGGGGCTCAATTAATCCTATTGCTGACATCGTGGTGTAGGTGGAAGTGCTAACTCTTGATGTCATCTACCTAGCCTCGAAGCCTAGATAAACAGTCTCTTCGTTCTCCATGGTACTCTGTTGTCTAGACAACACATGGGCATTGACTACAAAATTAGAGTCTGTGATTGCCCATACGAGACCCTCCTACTCCCTTGTAGAGAGGGGCCATCTGAGATTCTGACTGCCTTACCTCCAAAGGCGTGTTTGCAATTCTCCCTTGACTGCATGTGATCTTTGAAGACTAGAGTATATAAGAGGTGGGGAAGTTGGTGATACAGCTTATGTGTTGTTTTTTTCATCACTTTGTAATGTTGCTTTGAGTCACCATGCTATAGTTACTCCTCCAAATAACTCCAATAAGCCTCTCATTCACTACACGGGACTGGGGAAGGCAATCTCTCTGGTCTGTCTGTGCCCTCTCAGAGGTGAGTAGGCACTTCCCACACCTCCCCAAGATGACAAGCAACGCAAGAGACAGTGCAGTTTTTACCTGCTATGGTTGTGAGCTGATGAACCGGGCCAGCAAGCACATAGCATTTAGCACCATGTTGCAGGGCTAGGAAGGGCTGGGAAGGACTTGATCACGGGGAATCAGGCAGGAATTAGGAAGAAGCAAGGGGACAGAAAGCAAGCATGCATGGCTGAAGGTTTGGTCCATTTCCTTTCAGTCCTGTGGTCAGCACTGGTTTGCTAATGTAGGACTCAGGTGATGACTCAGAGGCTATCCCCCCTCCCCCCTCCCCCCCAGGGAGGACTTTGGATTTCAGAAACCAGGCTGCACTCTTAGACATCATCAAGCCTTGGACTTCTCCCACAGACCTCATTGCCCACAGCAACACACAGTAGGCACTCATTAAATATGTGTTGAAAAATCAATGCATCTGACTGAAGAGTGGGGATGACTCGACCCCAGGAGCCACTGAACAAACACCGAGGGCTTTGCTTTAGTCTGTCTGGGTTTTTTTCCTCTCAGAACAAACAGAAAAACCAAAACCAAAACAAAAATATAATCAGATGAAGCTCTGCTGCTGAAAGGGCCTGAACAAACGCATTTGACTTATTATTGCAGGAAAAAAAAATCAATGACTCTTCTGCCCACCACTGAGCCCTGGGCGTTGACTTGGAAACACTGACTTCGTCCTGGACCAAAGCTCTCCTGAGCCCATGAGCTGAGTGCCCAAGGTTCAGCTCCCCCAGCTGGCTGAGCCTGTGGGAAATCATTTCCTTCTTGGAGCCCAGCCATGGCTTCAGGTATTAACACACACAGTGGCCTCTGCCTTCCAGCTCACGTAGCAAATGGACATTTTAAAAAACATGTGGGGGTGTTGGGGGGGGAGCAGAGTAAACAAGGCAAATGTGGGATTTAGCAGTTTGGAGAGTGAGTCTTGGAATCATCTGGGGAGGATTCAGTAAAGGTAAGAAGATTGGCCCAGAGCTCGCATAGGATTCTGGGAACCTTTCAAATAACAGATTTCTCTATCTTACCCGAGGTCAAGACCCACATCTTTGTCTTAAGACGCCCTTTAGGGCTTTCTGTGGGGAAGAAACGGCAGAAATCCGTGCTGTTTAGGTCCTGGAGCTGCCCTTGCTCTGAACGATCTCCAACCTTCTGTACCCGACAAGGGGTCTTAGGCTGGTGAGAATTCCTCTGCAGAGCACCCTTTGGGAGGATCAGCCTGGCATGCTTAAAAGGGGACCTATGTTCTCTAAAGAGCACACAGGGGTATCTACTTTCATGGAAGCAAAGGATGGAATTGTGGTTTCCAGAGCTGGGAGGGGGAAAGTGGGAACCATAAGGATAAAGGTTCAATTATGAGAAATGACTGACTTCAATTTCCAGAGGACTCGGGGGTAGAGCACTCACCCAGTATATGCAAGGCCCTGGGTTCAATCACCAATAAATAAATAAATAAATAAATAAATAACTATACTATGAATTAATCTGATAAGAGTGTTGACTTCACGCTGAATGCTCTTACTATACAAGTTTCTTGAATTGTTAATTTTATTTTGCTTATTTTAAGAACGAGCAGAAGAAAAACAGATGTGTAACACAGAAAAATGACTCAAGGCTGGGAATCTTGGCTCACATCTATAATTCCAGCTCTTGGGACGTTGAGGCAGGAGATTTCTGTGAGTTGGAGGGCAGCCTGGGCTGCATTTTGAGTTACAGGACAGCCTGAGCTACAGTGTGGTACTTTACCTATGAGAGATTGCCTTGACTAATGATTGATGGGTGAGGGCTTGACTCATTGTGAGCAGCATCATGTTGGCAGGCAGGCCTGAGATGTATAAGAAGGCTGTTGACCATGAGCCAGCAAACAGCCTTCCCAAGGTTTTTGTCTGAGGTCCTGCCCCGACTTTCTCAACAATGCACTATCACCTGCGAGCTGAAGCTTCCCTCCTTGGGTTGCTCTGGTCCTGCTGGTTATCACACAGCGGCAGACTGCAAACTAGGACATCCATCAACACACAGGCATCATTGACTCAGTGCAAGAAGACGTAAGAGGCAGTGGTGTGGACAAGGCCAGGGTGGCAGTCTTGGGAGCAGACAAGGCCAGGGTGGCAGTCTTGGGAGCAGACAAGGCCAGGGTAACAGTCTTGGGAGCAGACAAGGCCAGGGTGGCAGTCTTGGGAGCAGACAAGGCCAGGGTGGCAGTCTTGGGAGCAGACAAGGCCAGGGTGACAGTCTTGGGAGCAGAGGAGGAGACACAGTGAGACCAGGTCCCGAGCTCATTGTTAGTCAGAGCTTGTGCCTGCTGTCCTGTTTTCCAAGTCTTTGTTTGGCACCCCCAACTGCTGCTAATGAATAGTCATAATTGGAAATAAAATATGAGTTCATACACATGCATGGGTTACTCAAGTCCGGTTAGTAATACTCTATTCTCAGAAATATGAATCTTAGGAAGCTGAGTCAATCCCAAGTTGGCAATCATGGCGTGAGTCTTTTTATCTATTGGCTGGGGCTCTGAGAATCACTTCACTTGAATAATGCCCAGTGATATTCACCAGTACCTTTCAAATTTTCTTTAGTTACTATAGACTGTAGCTATATGTAAAATTTCTGAATATAACTGAACCAAAAACCAGAGAGCCTGCAGTAGGCCCTCTGCATTTGTGTGACAGCTGTGTAACTTGATCTTTTTCTGTGACTCCTAACGGTGGGAGCAGGGGTTGTCTCTGACTCTGTTGCCTGCTTTTGGAACTCTTTCCTCCTACCAAGTTGCCTCATCCAGTCTTAACAGGAGAGGTGGTGCCTAGTTTCACTGCGACTTGGTATACTATGGCTGGTTGATATCCATGCGAAGCCTTTCCCTTTCTGAAGATAAAGGGGGGAGATGGGGGGGTGACAGGATGGGAGGAGGGACTGGGAGGAGAGGAGGGAGGGGAAACTTCAGTTAGGATGCAAAATCAAAAATAAATAAATACAAAAGAAACAGAAATAATTATGTTTAACTAGTTTTGTTAGATATTTACAGTAGTACACAAATAATATGAAGATCATTGAGATGGCCCATTTCTTATGAGTTCAGGCTGTCCATGTATTACCAGTAACTCCAAGATCACCTCTGTAAACTGGGAATATTAACAATGATTAGTTAGCATCAATTCCTGATACATGACTGTTGTGCCAGAGATGGTACATTCCAGCCTTTTAGCAGGTAACTATAGTCATGAACATTTTGCTCAATGAGGTATCAGTAGAAGTGAAAAGGACACTCAGGGGTTGTTTTTATGAGGAAGTTGTCCTTCTCCCTCTCTTTTCCTCCTGGCTTGGAAGTGATGAAAACTGAAGAGAGAACTGGGCTGTGAACTCGTGTCTTAGGAAAGCCAGAGCTGTTCCTGTAGTCTGCTTCCTGCATGGCCACCTGGCTGACTGAGAGGGCATCACGTTCTGCTTCTAGAATTTGATCCCCTGTGTTTGGGTATCTTTGCTACAGCAGCTTACAGCATACATGGGGACACATCATGCTACACTGCCACTCTATGACACATCCTGTACAATAGAACATTACATTGATCACTAAAATATACACAGAGAAGTGGGTAGCTCAGGGGTAGCAACAACAGAGCCTTGGGTTCTGTCCTCAGTGCATATCAAGAAATGCCCAGGACATGGCTTGGATGTAGCCCAGTTTGTAGAGCATTTGCCTAACATGCATGAAGCCCTGGGGTCCATCCTAGGCCTGTACCACCATCATGTAAATGAACAACAACAAGAGAACTCAGCAGGCTGCTGGATCAGAGGCCTGAGGTTCTTGGCTATGTAGTGAGTTTGAGGCCAGCCAAGGCTACATTAGACCCTATTTTTTCTAAACAGAAAAATATTTTAACATGGAGAAAAGGGAGGGAGGGAGGAATAGAGGAAGGAAGGAAGAAAGAAAGGAAGGAAGGAAGGAAGGAAGGAAGGAAGGAAGGAAGGAAGGGAAGGCAAAGCCAGGAGGTGGTGGTGTACCCCTTTAGTCCCAGCACTCAGGAGGCAGAGTTCAAGACCAGCCTGGTCTACAAGAGCTAGTTCTAGGACAGCCTCCAAAGCCACAGAGAAACCCTGTCTTGAACCTCCCCCCCCCCAATGCAGGAAGAAAGAGAGAGGAGAAGCCAACCCTGACATGGTTCTAGAAAGAATGAGGTGAGCCTGGCTCCGTGGTCATTTGACGAACACTTCAGAGCACTGCTCATGTTTGGGCAAAGTGAGAACCAGCGTCAGGACAGCCACACTCCCGGGCTACACCTGGTATACCACCTCTCCAGGGAAACCTAGCCAGCCAGAGTACAGACATTCTTTCCAGATGGTTCTGCAGAGTGGGGCGTCTGTGAGATGGGGCTCACAGGATCTAAGGCTGGTCATTTTCAACACACCTAGAAGTACCTGGTGGCTACAAGAGGTGACCTATGCCTCCAGTGATTCTTTGACAATGGCTAGGAGGAGGCTGAAAGTGTCCATTTTACAGTCCTGCCCCTCCACTCCTGAAACTTGGTCCCACCCCTCTG